CATGCTGCTATAAAGATTCATTCTTTTTTCTTTTGTCTCCTCTGACTGCATATTTTCAAATAGTCTTTAAGCTCACTAATTCTTCCTTCTGTTTGATCAATTCTGCTATTGAAGGACTCTGATGCATTATTCAATACACCAATTGCATTTTTCAGCTCCAGAATTTCTTTTTAATTATTTCAATCTCTTTGTTAAATTTATCTGATAGAATTCTGAATTTCTTCTCTGTGTTATCTTGAATTCATTTGAGTTTTCTCAACATAGTTATTTTGAATTCTCTGTCTGAAAGATTACATATCTCTGTTTCTCCAGGATTGCCCCTTGGTGCCTTATTTAGTTCATTTGGTAAGGTCATGTTTTCCTGGATGGTATTGATGCCAGTGTTCTTCGGCGTCTGGGCATTGAAGAGTTAGGTATTTACTGTAGTCTTCACTGCCTGGGCTTATTTGTAGCCATCCTTCTTGGGAAGGCTTTCCAGATATTTGAAAGGACTTGAGTGTTGTAATCTAAGCTGTACCTGCTTTAGGGGGCACCCCAAGCCCAGTAATGCTGTGGTTCTTGCACACTTGTCAAGGTACCACCTTGATGGTCTGAGACAAGATCTGGAAGAATTCTCTGGATTACCAGGCAGAGGCTCTTGTTCTCTTCCCTTCTGTTTCCCAAACAGAGTCTCTCTCTCTGTTCTGAGCCACCCAAAGCTGGTGGTAGAGTGAAACAAGCACCCCTGTGGCCTCCACCACTATGACTGCACTGTGTCAGACCTGAAGCTATCACAGCACTGGGTCTTGCCCAAGGCCTGCTGTAACCACTTCCTGGCTACTGCCATTGTTTGCTCAAGGCCCTGGGGCTCTACAATCAGCAGGTGGCAAGGCCAGCCAGGCCTATGTCCTTCTCTTCAGGGTGGTGAGGTCCCCCAGACCCCAGATGAGTCCTTAGGTGCCCTCTGGGAATCAGGGACTAGAGTCAAAAACCTTAGAAGTCTACTTGGTGTTCTACTGCACTGCAGCTGAGCTAGCATACAAACTATAGGATGCAGTCCTTCCCACTCTTCCTCCCCTTTCCAAAGGCAGAGGAGCCTTACCCTGTAGCCACCACCACCCCAGGCCATGAAGAGTATTGCCAGGCTACCAATAATGTTCTCTTATGGCCCAAAGGCTCTTAAGTCAGCTTGTGGTGAATGCTGCCTCGCCTGGGACTCATCCTTCAGGGCAGCGGGCTCTCCTCTGACCCAGGGCAGGTCCAGAATTGTCATACAAGAGTCAAGTCCTGGAATCGGGGACCCCAAGAACCTGCCTTGGTGCTCCACCCTCCTGTGGCCGTGCTGGTATCTAAGGTGCAAGAAAATGTCCCCACTGCTTTTAAGCAGAAGGAGTTTTGCCCCATAGCTACCCTAGCTGGTAATATGCTGAGTCTCACCTGAAGCCTGCAAGTCATAGAGGCTCACCCAAGATCCTCAATGTAGTAGCTGGGTATTGCTGCTAATTATTCAGGGCCCAAGGGCTCTTCAGTTAGCAGGTGATGAATGCTGCCAGGACTGGGTCCCTTCCTTCAAGGCAGCAGGTTCCCTTCTGGCCCAGGGTGTGTCCAGAAATGTCACTTGGGAGCTAGAACCCAGAATGAGGGCCTTATGACTCTGACTTGTGTCCTATCCTGCCACGGCTGAGCTGGTATCCAAAATGCAAGAGAAAGTCCTCCCCACTCTTCCGTCTCCTCTCCTCTCCTCTCCTCTCCTCAAGGGAAAGGAAGGGGTCTCTTTTGGAGTGATGAACTGTGAGGCTTGGGGCTGGTTGAGGGGTGATGCCAGTACTCCCTTGGCTGCTGCAGTTGGTGTCTCAGTATGTCATGTATCCCTCAGTCCACTGTCTCTGGGCCTAGTTGAGCACTAGGATTTGCCTAAGAGTTACAGTCCTTATGGCCTAGACTGCCTTTCAAGTTTACCCAGAGGCATAGCGCACTGTAGCACTCCGTGGTGAGGTTTGCAGAACTCAAGTTCTGACTGCTGGGACTGGCAATTCCCGTGTCTAGGCCTAGGTTAAATGCTCCCTCCGTGGGTGGGCATCAGCTGAGTTTGGTCCAGTTTTCCTCTCTGATCCAACAGGACAGCACTGAGTTCAATGCCTCACAATTGCTGTATTTTCCCTTCCCCAGCGCCCGGAGAGGCTCTCTGCACCATGCTGGAGGGGTGGCACTGGCAATTCAGGATTACTGTTTCTATCTCTTCAGTGACTCAGCCATATGAAGTTAAAACCAGGTACAACGAGTGCTCATCTGATTTTTGGTTCTTATGAAGGTGTTTTTTCTTTTTCTTTTTTTTTTTCCTTTGTGCATTGTGGGGAGGGGGGTCTTTATTCACATGGAGTGCTGTATGTGATGCCCAGGAAAAGCTCTCAGCGTGGTGTGTGCTTCAGGGTGGCTCGGGCTCCAATCTCTGCTTTCCAGTTTGTCACGGGCTCTCAACTGTACATAGCCTGTGCCCTGCTGGATTCCACCTTCTTAGACACCACGTGAATCCCCAAGCACTGCTCCCCTTGCCCCTTACCACCACCAAGCAGCTATTAGACACCTGAGGTCTCTGTCCTGTTAGTACCATGGGGCGGAAAGGTACGATACCTTTTTTCACCCATAAGGGTGACAGCCAACACTCCTTGTGTGCAAGACAAAAGCATTAACACATTTACTTAATTATTTGAGGCAAGGTCTCACTCTGTCTCCCAGGCTGGAACGCAGTGGTGGGATCACAGCTCACTGCAGCCTCAACCTCCCAAGCTCAGTCAATCCTCCCACCTCAGCCTCCCGGGCAGCTGGAACCACAGGCATACACCACCATGCCTGGCCAAGTTTTTGCATTTCTGGTAGAGACATGGGTCCCACTGTGTTGCCCAGGCTGGTCTTGAACTCCTGGCCTTAAGTGATCCTTCCACCTCAGCCTCCCAAAATGCCAGGACTACAGGCATGAGCCACCGTGCCCAGCCTAAAACGTTATGAAGGTGTTTTTTTCCTGTAGATAGTTGTTAACTTGGTGTCCTTGGGTGGGGAACAATGGGTGGAGCCTTCTGTTCCACCATCTTGCTCCACCTCCTCCAATTATGTGTGTTTTGTATGCATATCTGGGCAGTAGGTCATAGATTTGAAGCCTCTCATTTAAACTTTACTGTGTCTGAGAATATTTATCCTTAGGACACTTGTGTGTACATTTGTGCATTGTTGCTACAATAATTGCCTCATGGTAATTGAGAGACTGAGAAGAACAAGCAGGTAAGTCATACCATGAGGAGGGTTTAAGCACAAGGGCAAGTTAGAAAAGTACTGAAGGATTTATATTTAAGGGGGAGGCTTATCAGTGGGATATGTCAAGCACATTAAGTTGTTCCTGAGTTTGCAAATATTATTCTCTGGGATTAGGCCATCGGCATTTGCTAATTGGTGCCCATCAAAGTTAGGCTTCTACCCACCCACAGGAACTGAGAGATATCTTCTTTGATGATTATATATCAAAGGGATAGATCCCAGGTCCTTGAGGAAGACTTTCCTGAGTTGTAAAACTGTCAAGAAGCTTTTATTAAAAAGAAATCTCAAAGGAAGCAGAGAAAGAACTTATAATTCCAAGTTTTCTAAAACAAATGTTCTAAGAAACAAGAAAACCAGAAGTCAGGGCCTAGAGTCAGTAAGAAGCCAGTCTAAAATTCAGTCATGCTGAGGAGAACGTCAGTGCCATCTCAGTCATAAAGTTATGGTAGATGTTGATGTTTAAAAAGCTACACATCAGCAGATTAGTTTTAAACAAATATGAATGTTAGAAGTTTACAGCCCTAACTTAGAATCCTCCCCTCCTTGCCCCCCACTCCCTCCAGACCACCCAGTGCATCAGGATACCACAAGATGTCAGTGGTGGTGACTAGGTAAGAATTCTATCCATTCAAGAATCCTGGGGGGGAGACCTGTGCTGCCCTTGTATTTCCCGCTCTCCCAGGGGACTCTGCCTGCCCCAGTATCTACCAACAGATGTTTAAAACTGTATTAGTACCATGTGCTTTCATCAGCTGTGCAAACTTGGACAACTTACTCAACCACCCTCAGCCTTGGTCACTTCATTTGTAAATAAGCATAGTAAATACATACCACACAGCATTGTATCAGGAGTAAATCTGATCTGCGTATAGCACTTAACACAATGCCTGGCATACGGTAATGACCCAAGAAATGATAACTATCAGTATTTCAGTCAGTTTTCACCTGTGCTATTATATTATTCTCAGAGAATAATGAACATACTATGACACCAAATTAATAAAATACACAGAAAAGCAGAAGAAAATAAGTTAAAAGAATTATGGCTTAAATCTATTGAAATTAAAGCAGAAGAAACTATCAATGAGGCAGTAGCTACTTCCAAAGTGCCATGCCCTATCCTCCGCAACTTTACCCAATTTTCTGCCCAACTTTCCAAGTCCTGTTCCCTCAAACTTAAAATATTTTCCCACACAGATCTCAAATCTTCATGTTATTCAGCCCAAGGGTGTAATGCAATTTTTAAAATTACAAGTTTTTGTTGTATTTTCTTTTCCTATTTGTCACTTGCAGCATTTTACTCCACCCCAAAAAAAAAACCCATGTGGGAGTTAATTGACTTTTCAGGAATCCCGTGCAAAATTCTCCCTCAAAACACTCTCCTTTGTTTGTGTCTTGGAAGCAACTCCAGAGTTTTCAGCACTTGGATTCTACTTTAGAATTGTGCTCAGACTGTCTCCATAAGAGTGGTCCGTTTCCTCATCCAATGAGCTCTGCCTGTTGGTCTGTGTGACACTCCAGTGGAAGGAAGCCAAGAGCCTATAGTAGCGATCCTGGGGAAAATTTCAGCAGCTGGGGCCATGTAATTTAAAACCTCTGAAAAGTGTGCTGCAGTCCGTGCACAGCATTAGTATAACGTGAGGGCTGAATGCAGCCCGTTCTCTGGAGAACTTCCTCACACATCGCAGCAGAGAGAAGACTAAAAGACAAACCTGGGTGCAGCCGGAGAGGTCCAGATAGATGAGCTTGTGGCATCCATTCCCCAAGTTCAGGTACTGTAAGCCTTTATCTGTGAACCCTCTGCAATAAGCCAAACTAAGATTCTGTAAGTTGTGGAAGTGCCTGAAAAGGCAAGGCAAGAAAGAGAGCAAGGAAAGTATTATACTTCAGTTGTTCTCTCAAATCTTTCTTAAGCCACTATGACAAAGAAAACTGTAAATTCAACTCTTCTTCTTGCAGATGTTCAACGTTTAACTTTACTGTTAACTCTCTACTTGTTAATTAAAGGAGACTACAGTAACACATAATTGTAATACATTTCAAGTGAAAGTACTAATAATGCAATAATCTTTGCCTAGATTTTTAAGAAAGTTGACTGGGATAAAGCTTTTTTGGTGTGTGTGAGGTGGGGGAGGCAATCACATTGTTTGGAAGTGAAACCAAATTTGCAGAGTTTATTGTTGCTTTTAGGTTTTATCTCTGGAGTACCAAAATAATGTGCAAAATATATAGAAGGACAAATCCTTGGTAAACATTTAAATGGAGACTGTTACAGGAGAGTGAGGATTTGGGACAGAAGGCAAAATTGATTATAACCATGCTCTTAAAATAGATCTGATAAGCAAATGATTTTTAAAAATAGGTTTAAATATGCATGATTTTGTAACAGTTTCATTATTATAGTTAAAGAAAGACTAACTGATATGCAGAGTTTAAGCATGGATTAAGAAGACCAGTTTGCAAATAAGTGGGCAACACATGAGAAGAGTTAAAAGCAACATCAGAGACTATAAATCTCGCTGGAGTTGAAATAGATTAAATATGGTATTACCACAATGACCAAAATGAAAGCTTCCAGAAAAAAGGAGGGTAGTTAGGATGAGCCTGTACTACCATGTGAGGGCTCGCAGTTTGAGGACACTCTGTGGACAATTTTCCAAGCCCTCCGAAGCCTGGCACTTTTTTTTTTTTTTTTGAGATGGAGTTTCACTCTTGTTGCCCAGGCTGGAGTGCAATGGTGAGATCTCGGCTCACTGCAACCTCCTCCCTGCTTTCCCCAACCCCCCGGTTCAAGCGATTCTCCTGCCTCAGCCTCCCAAGTAGCTGTGATTACAGGTGCGTGCCAACATGTCTGGCTAATTTTTGTATTTTTAGTAGAGATGGGGTTTCGCCATGTTGGCCAGGCTGGCCTCAAACTCCTGACCTCAGGTGATCCACCCACCTCGGCCTCCCAAAGTGCTAGGATTACAGGCGTAAGCCACCGTGCCTGGAAAGCCTGGTACTTTTTAAGAGGTCAAGGACTCCCACTACTGCCTGGTCTTCTAATACAATTAGCAATCATGCTCTTAGTTTGTGATCTGCAACAGCTTAATAGCAAATTACAAAGCAAAAAGAATGAAAAGTGAGGAGAAAATGCTTCTCTGCCTCTCAAAATCACACAGGTGAATAAAGTTTACCTTCCCATAAATGGGAACTAAGATATACAAGCACTGACCATTAATCAGATTTTGGAAAGCACATCTATACGATATAATGATTTGCATTCCATAGCAAATTACTTGATTCAGAACACAAGTCCCGATCTGGGAATGGCTGTGTACGTGAGATTCGACAGAGCGAGGGGGAAGGTTTCAGATTCACCAGTGACTAGGTGGGCAGGGCCTGAAGGAGAAAGCAGTGCTAATATTCCAAAGACACGCCCCTCTCTTGGGGCTGTGGAGTGGACTGAGCTGTGCTAAAGTTTTGGAAATGCGTTATCTTCCTCTCCCTTGAGTACACCCTGTGATTCAACTGAGTACAATTTTCTTGGGGTAGGGAGAGGCGCACCAGGGTGTCATTTCTAGCAATCCTTCAGCTCCATAATCTGTAGAAAGGAGTTGTGAGGCAGGCAGCATGACACAATGCAAAATACACAAGGTTTCTGAATCCAGCCAAATGAGATGTAAATCCAAGCCCTGAAACTTAACTGCAACCTCCCTAACCTCTCAGAGATTGTTTTCTCATTTGTTAAGTGGAGATTAAAATACTTTTTTTTTTTTTTTTTACGCTGATCAACTGTGGGGCCTCCAGCTTTCCTGAACCTCAGTTTTCTCATCTGGAACATGGATGTAATCTGATCTGCTTGTTCCCTTTAAAGGTGTGATGATTAAATGAGAACACAGAAATAACAGTATTATCTTCAGGGTGATTTTAACAATCAAAATCGGCAGGGACATAGTAGAAGATTTAAAACTATATGTAATATTATTGCTACTACTATGTGAAATGACAGTAACACATTAACTATTTTTATGGAGTTTGTATTATTCTTCCATTTAATGAAATGGATACTTACCTCCAAGAGTGGTGCACACAATGATTCCAAGAGTTTGAGGGATTTCACATTGAATCTATACACCGATCTACACCTATATTCAATTTCTTTAAATCCATGTGATCAGTCAACAAATACCAAAAACGAGAATTGAGCTAGGAGCTCTTAACTTTTAATGTCACAGACACCTTTGGCTTTTGGCAGTCAGCTGAGGTCTCTGGACCCCTTTCTTGGCTTAATGTTTTTAAATGCATAAAATAAAATATATAAGATTACAAAAACAGTCAATTATATTGAAATATATAATTATCAAATTAAAAAATGAGTGGAATAGTAATATATGTGCTTCTTTATTAACATATTAAATAAGATTTTGTGGCAGTTCTAGTAACTGCTGTGATTGTGAAGTATCAGTGATATTTTGAAATATTTATAACAACTGAAATGTGGTAAGAATATATTTTTGATTTATATGAATAAAAATGTCCCAGAGACTGCTAACACTTCTGTAGTTTTTACCTACATTTCAATTACAGCTTAATGAAAGTAGAGATGAGTTTCTTCTTTTTTTTTTTTTTTTTTTTTGAGATGGAGTCTCACTCTGTTACCCAGGCTGGAGTGCAATGGCGTGATCTTGGCTCACTGCAACCTCCACCTCCCAGACTCAGTGATTCTCCTGCCTCAGCCTCCCGAGTAGCTGGGATTACAGGTACCCGCCACCATGCCTAGCTAATTTTTTTTGTATTTTTATTAGAGACAGGGTTTCACCATGTTGGCCAGACTGGTCTCAAACTCCTGACCTCAGGTGATCCGCCCACCTCAGCCTCCCAAAGTGCTGGGATTACAGACGTGAGCCACTGTGCCTAGCCGAGATGAGTTTTTTTATATCCTCCATTAAAATTCATGGAGTTCCTGAATTCTATCCCTGATCCTCTTGGGGGAATCCACTACTCCCCAGCTAAGAACCTCTGGTTTAGATAAAAGAGGCTGTTCATTAGACTAAGTGACTCCTGGACTGAAAGTCCCTGGATAGTTCTTTTCACAGTGGAACCTCATGGGAACCATCAGTTTGAAGACAAAGCTCAGGAATCTTGAGTGGCCCTGTAGGCCTTTCTAGGGATTTACAGTTCTGCAGACTTAAAGCTGCTAGGGATGGGAAAAGTGTCAGTTGACAGCAAAATCACAGGTGGCAAATTTTGTGCAATACTGATACTCTTTATTCTGAATTTTGGCAAAGACGCATGTCCCCTGCATGAGTAAGATCTGATTCATCATTTTCCCAGCCCACAGAACACTTGGTAATTCTAATTCTGCTTTGAGGCAATGTTTACAGCTTGTTTTTATCTTTTTCTAATTATTTGATAACTGTTTCTTATTGGGGGCTGTGAGTTCTCTCTTTGTGATTTATTTATTTTTCTGCTATTACTATAATCTTTAGAGAAATTACAATTATTATAGAAACTACAAATGTTTTTTTCTCCTTTCTTTTGGCTTTTTTCCATTAAAGAATTGAAGTCATTTGTGTTAAATTTCTAACACCTGAAGGACTTACTACTAAGATGAATGGAAAATTATGTATTTAAATTAAAATTTCTCTAAAAAAATCACCAAGACAAGGCCTAGTCTGTAAAAGAGGGAATTTGCATGTGGATTCTTTTGAGTTGAGTGTTGGGTTCTTTGGTTTCACAGAGGCATTTCAAGTAATAGAATTCTGCAGAAAACCTAAATGGAGTGATCTGGCCTTCTATTTACAGGGTAGACCTTGAAGTTGTCCAGTCAAGACAACAGCTTACTCTGTCTGCCCCACTTTGATGGGCACTGGTGAGACTATAGATCATGATAGTCCCTGACAATAAGAAATTTCCAAACCAACTGAAAGATCAGTTCATCTATATAAAAAACAATTGGATACTACTCCACTATAGCATTTAAGACTCAAAGAGCAGAGATCATAATAGCTTTTCTCAGTACTGTATGCCCAGAACACCTTGCACATACGAGTTGATCAATACATGATGAACAAGTGAATGAATGTTGTTATTAGAATTCAGGCAAAGGAAAAATCACTGTGGATTTCTGGTAGATGGCGAGACTTAAGGTGTGAAGGCTGTGGATTAGCCATGAGAAGGAGAAAGGCACTGCAGTTATAGAGAATGTGAAGCATGCAGCAATCAGATGACTGGAGTTAAGGGCTTCTCTTGGGAAACCTAGGCAGAGAAGTTTGATTGGACAATGTTAACAGAGAGTGAGGGATGAACCTAGACCTTAAGCATGTCAAAGACATGATAAGAAGATTGTTCCAGGATGACACTTCTTGTAGCATGAGACACAGCAGATTGAAGGGAGAAGAGACCAGAGGCAGCACCACCAGGATACTGTGCCAGATGAGGTGCTGAGAGTGCCACCTAGGTTGTGACACTAGGAATAAATAGAAAGTGTTTAATTCTGGAAACATTTAGAGGCAACAAATTTCCTGGAATGGGCATGAGCTTTAGGCAGCCCTCATTTTCAACTTTAGAGAACTGAGCAAGTCCCCAAAGAAGTGAGAAAAAAATATTCAAAAAGCTGGCAAATCACTGTTGCCAAGGACAAACAAATTACATTTTTCTTTTGGCAAGTACTTTTTTTGGAAAGAAATACTAAAGGCAATGAAGAGAGAATGACAGCAGAAACAACCAACATTTCTCTGGTTATTTGCAGTTTCAAGAACATTTTTGCGTATCCAAGCATATTTGAAACAATGGAAAACAGAGCAAAAACAGAATCATTATGAAATATATTTTTATCGTAGATAAGTTAGTATACTTTT